ATGAGGTTGATTTCATGAAGGTTACTACAAGTGATAGGATCATTGAGTCACTGGAAAATGTGTTTGTTCAGCACAGTTTACCGCTAACCTTAACGTCCGATAATGGACCCCAGTTTACTTCCGATAAGTTAGAAGCATACATTGTACCTCTCAGAAAATGGGATCAAGCACAGAAGAGTCACCCCCTTACACCGTGCCGCAAATGGGGAAGTTGAACAGCAAAACAGATCTCTGATGAAAAAAAATTCGCATCACATATGCAGAGAAGAAAGACTGGGAAAATGAAGTACGGAAGTACTTATTTGCCTTCAGGGCAAGACAATATAACATGGCTGGTGTAACCCCAGCAGAGATGATGTTTAAGCGTAAAGTCCAAACCAGACTCCCTGAACTAGGCAAGATGAAGAGATACATGCTTTGAGAAAAGAGAGGAATAAGAGATACATGTACATTGACAAAAAGAGAGGAGCAAAAGAAAGAGACCTAGGAGAAGGAGATGAAGTCCTAGTCAGACAACCCAAACAAGACAAACTAAGTACTCCCTTCTCCCCTGAGCCACACAAAGTTGTGGAGAAAAAGGGGAACAACATTGTCATTGAATCTCCAACTGGTTCTCAGTACCAAAGAAATAGCACACATGTTCAAAATACCACAGACCACTTACAGTAGTACACCAGGCACAGAAAGTAAGAATGGCAACAGCTAACAGAGAAGACAGAAAACATGCATACACAGGTTGAGAGTAGACCAGCTAGGGAAAGAAAATTACCTAAGCGGTTTGATGATTTTGTAATGTTCTGTTAGATTTTGGTATCCCAGGGAAATTTTAAAGGTTTGCTAAATACATACATACACATGTGAGTCTTCCCTGGTTTAAGACAAAATAGTTTTAACCTTTACATTTGTTTACATGACAGTAAACAATTCTTTCATACTTATTTTCATGGAAACACTTACTCTACATTTCTTGCTTGTGTTACCTTAGAAAAGAAGGTTTGTATTATTGTACAGTGACTGTCTAGAATGGAGTACAAGTGGTGCTTAATGTACATGTAAGACACAAAGCCCCACAACAGTTTGAAATTAATGTTTTGATTTGACTACAGATTATGAATAATCAGGCAGTGTGGGTTTATAGTTTGTTCGATATTAATATGCTCTGTTTCGGTAGAAGTGGGTCATTTTCTAACTGCATAAATGTACACTGTTTATCACTGAATACAAAAACTGATTTTGGTGGTCGTATGGGAAAGCTGTAAGGAAACCATATTTTTAGGTTTTCATCTACCAACGTCATAAGGACATCAATTTTAAGTGTTGTATTTTGAATCTTGTTGCTTGTTGAGTTGCTGGAAAAAAAAGAGTCCATCTATATGTCTGACATGTTATAGTGACAGCAGATTACTGAAATATAGATTTCCATAGTAACCGTTTAAAATGTGTTTTGAAACTTTTTTTGATTTAGTCAGAATTAAGGATTTAAGAAAGGGAGGAGATGTAGTATCTGGAGCGAAGGCTGCATGTATATGTAGTGCCTTGAGCAAAGACTAGCTCTGGTACATATGACCTACATGTACAGGGGTCAACTCCTGGTGGGAGGTGATTGTCAAGGTACTGAATAAGGAGGACACACATCATGGACTCATAAAAGTGGACTTGCAGCTTTGGTTTATTTTGGGGGTTAAATCCCGAACCGTAACACTTCAGTGACTATGTGAGCAGCGGGGCTGTGCTGAAGTTGAGTGGGTGACAGCACCAAGGCAATACCGGTAGCTGCAGCACGCATAAAGATTCCTCTATCCAGTGTGGTCAATGTACAGTGTATCTCTACTACAAAGAATCAGTTATTCTTTTCACAGTAATGAAGAATGTATTTGAGATACATGCCAGCAGAGTTTCAAATTAGCTTATTTTGAGTTATCATCAGTTCCTTTGATTTGATCTGGTGCTGAAGTGTTTCAAAATGTAAAGACACTTTCAATTTGCAGCATCGTTGAAAAATAAAATTAACCCAGATTGCATCAATTAAACTTTGTTAAACCTCCAACAATTAGTCCCATTTAAACATTTAGGAAAATCTCTGAACGGATATTTTTTTTGTTTAAACGGTTAACTTTTAAACATTCGACCCTTACTTAAAAGGGCTTTTGTACTGTTCATACCAAGAAGGAAATTCTAAGTAGATTGCGCTATTCGGAGAAAACAGAGATCAAATGAGGGGAACCCTTGCCCTGTGTTCGTAGTGGAGAAACCTTTATGTCAAACAAGTTTATAGTGGGTAAACTCTTGTGCATGCCAAACTTTGGCTGCATGCATTGTTTGGCATGCACATGGCTTTATCCACTACGAATGCAGAGCCAGGGTTCCCCTCATTTCCTCTGTTTTCTCTGGATGATGCAATCTCCATTCAGAATTCGCATTTCGGCACGAACAGAAAAAAAAGCCCTTCTTGGCTTGTTATATACAGTAGTTGAGCTCTCAAGACAAATGACAATGCATCTGATTTAGATGCTTCCATATCTACATGAAGTTGAACAGATAAAATCAGATAAAACACGTTTTATTTAGAGGTGCTCTTTAATACATACTGTACATGAGTGTTTCTGGAATCACGGAAACAGGGACTCGCGGAAGCCCATTTTTTGGATAGTTTTTCGACCATACATGTACATGTAAATGAGAAAACTGGTCCATTTTTTCATGTTAATTTCGGAAGATGGTCTTGTCACCTGTTGTTCAAAGGCTACAACTGGGGAGAGAAGGTTTTCTTCACCTTGCCTCTTTAATCATGTTTTGACATGGAGGGAAACACCCTAGATTTGTTCACTTTCACTTTCGCATTGTGAAAGTTTCGTACCCTGATGGGTCATTTTGCTGCTTCCCCAAAACAAAATTATCATAATTTTATGTGTACATGTATGTATAAAAACTATGCTGGTGGCTACAAGACTAACGAGATTGTTCTTAACTTGCATACAATTACACGTAGATGTACATGAAGCACATGTAGACATCAGCTGATTCTCCTGTTAGTATAAATACTGGCCCTAGAACTAATATTTTGCTCATTAGATCATACAAGCATTATGGATCATTTTCTACATGGTCTTATCTTTAACACTTTACTACATGTACATGTATAAGTTAACTGGATTTAATTACGTCATCAGAATTATTATTTTTGTATAGCATGGCCGCCCAAATTGCAATCCAAATGTTGCATTCTTTCTCTCAAATCAGTAATCAGAAATGGTGTCCCATAAAGCTGAGAATGTTTTCTACTTAAACTGCAAATTCATTTGAAGCTCATGCTGCGATGCAAAGACATTTTCAATTACCAAACTTATAGTACATGTACATGTAGCATCACTCTGTTCAAGGTACATGTGCATGTACATGTAAGTCTAAACAGTTTATCTTGCAAGTTTATGCAATCACTGAACCCAAATTACCACACAGCTGTATGGGTTCTAACTCATTGAACTTTTTTTGTAATTCCATACTTGATGAACGTGGTAGAAGAATGTAATTTCTTATTTCAGAAGGCAATGGTTGTTTAATCAATTGTATATCGAGTTGTTTGAAAGAAAACAACTTAGGCGCCAAGTCAAAATAGAAACGGTTGACCAAGCGGGAAATGGTTGCCCTTAATCCCCTTTCAAACCGTTGCCCGATTCAACTGCAAGTGGGTAATGGTTGCAAGGCACCGTTTCCCGAAAGAGAATTGGCTATGCGCAACCCCTTTGATGCATACTACTGTACCATCTCCCCCACCTTGGTACAAAAGCCCTCACTCCCAGCTTACCAGGAATGGTTACTGTGCATCGGCTTTGTTGTGTAAATTGGGCCACTTCATCCACAGGCTTAGCACAGCTTATTCAGAAGGGAAGCAATTAATCTCTTAACAAGAGACTAACTCCATCAGAGTCAACAGGCCTATGTGCATCACTAAGTCCCGTGTCACTGAATTTAGATCAGTAG